CAACAACGGTTGATTTTGAAAATTAAGTTTTCCCTTTAATAAATTTGTATACATAAATAATTTTTTTTTTATAGATTTTATGCATTATAAGTAGGTAGAGTACAAACCAACCACTATTTTTTTTAGGAATAAACCAATAACTATAGTTAAATATAAAACAATTAGTTGGCTTCAAGCTGAATAGTAGTAAGTTTCTGTGTGGGTGGTTTTTCGACCACACTGCCCGCTTAGTAACCAACTGGAGAGCACTGGCAGAATAGATGGCACCTGGCTGACCTGCAACAGAAATATAAGAATCCCGCGGTGGTTTCGACCACCCGGGGGCACTCCAACGATCAAGTCAGTATATCTCTCAAAGATAAATCAAGTACTAAACTCACAAGCTTGAGTATCAAAAGCATACCTTAGACCCATGGGGGTGCCTCTCTTTTATAGCCAACATAACCCTAGTCCCAATAGAAGCCTAACTTCTATAGACTCAGGATTACTGCTAATCTTGGACTCCCAGTAAGATTAGGATAAACTCTCTAAGAGTCTTATCTTAATACAAACTGAAGTCTTCTCTCATTCTAGGACTCTTGTCCCTCATCCAAGTTGAGTTTCCTTTTCATTCTAGGACTCTTGTCCTTTATTCGCTTTTCTCGAATTCCGATATCTTCGGAGATAACCTCGGCTTTACCGAGATCACCTCGGCGTCACGACCAAGACACGTGGCACTTCGGCTGACACGTCGGCGTCACCTTGCCACGTGTTGGTACTCAGAAAATATATCCCCACAACTGCCCCCTAGGTTCTATTACCTCGGCATTCTGAGGTGATGGAACCTACACTGTTCGTTTATCTGTGCCTCTCTGTCCAAGATCAAACTTGTCGACCTCAAAGTTCCCTGGACTTTATTGTCCACTTCTGTCATGTATCAAGATTCATGCCTTCTAAGCTGCTTCAAATCGCACCTCCTTGCCGAGGTTCTGGTTTCATTAATTCGTAAACTCTAAGAGTTTTGCAACTGCTCCACTCACACTCTCTGGTGAGTTCCCGATTTCCAGTTATCTATTTGACTCCGGCGATTTTCATATCGGCGTTCATTTCACTTGGTAGGTTTATAAACTCTTTTACTTGCTATTTAAGCTTAATCTTTCATAACTCTTCTGATCTACTTTGAATCTGTTTATTTGCCATCTGTTGCCTTCTATTTTCGTCTGTCTTCAAGTTTTGAATTGTTTGAATGCCTGGTACTTGTTCTTGTCATATCCGCTTTCTGTTGCTAGCATCATGTCTGGGTCATTACTTTCTTGTTCTTCACATACTTACTTAGTGCCTGTGTACTTGGCTTTATTCTTGAACTTTGTCGTCTTCTTGACTATTTTTCTCTTTTTTCATTCAATCCTCTGGCTTTTTCTCTTTCTAGCTCTTTTGCTTAAATCTGTCATTGTTCCAAGCTTTCAAGCTTCTGCAACTGTCTTCGTTCCTCTCCTCCGGTGAAGCTTACGTCATTCTGTCATTGTCGTCAGACTTCGGCAATTCTCATTCCGGCTTCCCTCTTTCTGGTAAGCCACTGTTCCTCCTGGTTTTATTTCTTGTTGCTGAGATAATGGTAGAGAAGCTCTCCCAGCTGACTGTCAATGCTGAACCACCGTCAACCGTTGAAGTAGATTAGTCCGACGTCCTTGCCTTAGTCCCTAGTTCTTAGGGTCTTCATCTTTGTACTTTTGTTTTCTTTGCATATGTCACCTTTTTTGCTTCTGAAAAATGTTTGTTGTTGGCCGATGTTAACATTCCTTGCTCCTTGATTATTATTCCTTCTTCCACTGTATTTGATAGCCATGTCGGGTAATTGACTTCTCGGATGGCTCTGGGCTCCAGAAGTCTGTCTACTTCTTCTTCTACTGTTTCGACGTGCATCAACGTCAGTCCTTTTGCTCATTGGATTTACAGGTTTGGCCGACCTGTCGATGTTCAATTTGTGGCACGTGACCTCAGGGTCAATGCTAGGCATTTCATAAGGTGTCCAAGCAAATACCTCAATGTTTGCTCTCAAAAAAGCTTCCAATTCCCTTTCTTCTTCTTCGGCTAAGCCTAAGCCGAGAAGAAAGAAGCGTTCTTCATCCCCCTCCTGGACGAGGATTTTCAGTGCCTCCTCACTCCTCTCAGCTGGCTCCTTGCCGACATCATTTAGTACCTCTATGTCCTCATTTTCAATCTCTGCCTTCTCTGGTTCTCGAATGCTGCAGGTGGATTTCATTGCTGCCATGGAGCAATTCTCCGCCTGCAGTTGATCCCCTCTGACTTCTTCAATCCCATGTTCTGTTGGGAACTGCAGTAGTTGATGCAACGTTGAGGGAACTGCCCCCATTGTATGCAGCCATGGCCTTCCCAAGATGATATTGTATGGTGAGGGCGTGTCAATCACCATGAATTCTGTCTTGATCTTCTTCTAACTGCTCTAGCATGATTCTATACGTAGAATATTTTGCATGCCTTTCATACTTTCCCTCCTTTGTGCAATCTTCTCGGGGTTACATACCTCGGGTATAATAGCTACAAAACTTTTACTTCGGCAAGATACTGACCTGCAAACTTTTCATAAATTCTAACAAGTGCGAAAGATATACTACTCAATGTTAACTTTGCAAACTTTTTCTCAAGTTTCAACAAGTGTTTAAACGGTGATCTCGGTCTAGCCTACTTGTAAATTGCTACAAATTTCAACAAGGATTAACATATACTGTAACAGGGATCAACAAGGATTAACATAACAAGTGTTAAACAATAATCTATTTGTAAATTGCTACGAATTTCGACAAGTGTTTAAACAACATACTTAGCTCTTTCCCCAACCTGTAAATTGCTGCAAATTTCAACAGATGATCATATGTCGGCTTAACGTTATCTTGTAAATTGCTACAAATTTCAACAAGTGTTAAGCATCTTCTTTGGTTTAACCCACCTGTAGATTGCTACAAGTGTTTAAGCAATAACCTTGGTTTTGCTTCAACTCGTAAATTGCTACGAATTTAAACAAGCGAAGAGAAACAGTAATCTTGGCTTAACTTCGGTTAAACATCATCTGGGCTTAACTTCGGTTAAGCATCATCTGGGCTTAACTTCGGTTAAGTATCATCTCGGCCTAACTTCGATTAAGCATCATCTCGGTTTAACTTTGGTTAAACATTATCTTGGCTTAACTTCAACTTGTAAATTGCTGCAAATTTCAACAAGTGAAGATAAGGAACCATCTCGGCTTAACTTCAACTTGTAAATTGCTACAAATTTCAACAAGTGAAGATAAGGAGCCATCTCGGCTTAACTTCAACTTGTAAATTGCTACAAATTTCAACAAGTGAAGATGAGGAACCATCTCGGCTTAACTTCAACTTGTAAATTGCTACAAATTTCAACAAGTGAAGATAAGGAACCATCTCAGCTTAACTTCAACTTATAAATTGCTACAAATTTCAACAAGTGAAGATAAGGAACCATCTTAGCTTAACTTCAACTTGTAAATTGCTACAAATTTCAACAAATGTTAAGCAATACTTTTCGGTTTAACCAACTTGTAAATTGTCCACAAATTTCAACAAGTGGTAAACGCATTCTTCTTCTTTGCGCCCCCAGTGTGAACTTAAAATCCATTTGGGTTCTCATCATACATGTAGTTTCGACCTTGTCGCCGAGGTTGAATTCAAGACGAGGTTGTCGGCCTTGGTTTCTCTATTTGGCTCCAACCTGAGTTTGATTTTCGGCCTCGCATCAGCAAGCCGTTTCCCTTTTCTTGTTCCGATGCCTTTGTTCCCGGCATGTCCTCCTCGACCCTAGCATACGTCTCAATTCTGGCCAACTTTAGTCTGATCTTGTGTGTTTCCTTTTTATCTTCTGGGATCTGAGATCTGCTCATTGTGCTCTTCTCCTCTCGGACTCAGGTGCTGAGATTTTATCTTCTGGAATCTTGGATCTGCTCACTCAGGTTGAGCGCTTCTTTTCTTGGACCTACTCATCTAGGCCGAGATCATGTCTTTTGGGATCTGGGATCCGAGTTTTGCTCACTCAAGTTGAGCTCTTCTATACTTGAATGTTATCTCCTTGGGAGCGCTCATGCCCCCTGTCTTTGCATCATTTCTGGAAGGGTCTTCGTTCCTCCGCAAGTATCTATCCTTCCATACCTGGAGGTCATCTTCGTTGCTTCGATCTGTTATCTTTGGTGCGTCACCTTCCTGGCCGGCGTCTTTCAATCCGTGACTCTGGTCACGAGTTTCTGTGTTGCTATTGTCCCCTTCAACGTCGAGGTTGATAGATCTCCCATTCCCAGTAGGAGGGTTGTCTCCAATCTGATCCTTCTGTCCGTCATTGGCCATTTATTCTTCTTTCTTTCATTGGCCATCTATTCTTCTTTCTTTCCCACAGACGGCGCCAAATTGTGTGGGTGATTTTCCGACCACACTGCCCGCTTAGTAACCAGCTGGAGAGCACTGGTAGAATAGATGGCACCTGGCTGACCTGCAACAGAAATATAAGAATCTCGCGGTGGTTTCGACCACTCGGGGGCACTCCGACGATCAAGTCAGTATATCTCTCAAAGATAAATCAAGTACTAAACTCACAAGCTTGAGTATCAAAAGCATATCTTAGACCCATGGGGTGCCTCTCTTTTATAGCCAACATAACCCTAGTCCCAATAGAAGCCTAACTTCTATAGACTCAGGATTACTGCTAATCTTGGACTCCCAATAAGATTAGGATAAACTCCCTAAGAGTCTTATCTTAATACAAACTGAAGTCTTCTCTCATTCTAGGACTTTTGTCCCTCATCCAGGTTGAGTTCCCTTTTCATTCTAGGACTCTTGTCCTTTATTCGCTTATCTCGGATTCTGATATCTTCGGAGATAACCTCGGCTTTACCGAGATCACCTCGGCATCACGACCAGGACACGTGGCACCTCAGCTGACACGTCGGCGTCACCTTGCCACGTGTTGGTACTCAGAAAATATATCCCCACAGTTTCTTTTGAATAGATGAAAAAATCTCATGCATTAAGAGCATAAGTTTTTAAAAAATCTCATGCATTAAGAGCGTAAGATTTTATAACTCTCAAATCAGTAAATTAATAAACTAGTAATCAAACCTCAAAACACAATTATGTTGGCTGGCTTTATGAGTAAATTCCAAGCCCCTTTAAATTGCTCATGTTTCATCGAAGCATCCCCATAGTGAATGTGAATTCTTTTTTCTTTTTTTCTTTTTTTTTTTCTCTCTAGTGGGAAGAGAGGAGTTCTTCAATAGTTTTAGCCATGGCAAAGAAACCAAGCATGGGTCACCAAAAGATCAAAATTGCGAAAATAGAGATCAAAAATCGCTTGCAAGTCACCTTCTCAAAACACCGATCTGGGCTTTTCAAGATGGCAAGCGAACTTTGCACGCTTTGCACCGTAGAGATGGCTATCATAGTTTTCTCTCCGACTGGTAAAGTCTTTTCTTTTGGCCACCCTAACGTGGATTCTATCGTTGATCAATTCCTGACTCGAAACCCTCCACCTAACACCACCACACGCCGCCTTATTGAGGCTCATCGTAATGCTAGCATGCGCGAGCTCAACTTACAACTTACTCAAGTTCTCAATGAATTGGAAGTCAAGAAAAGACATGGTGAAACCTTTGATCACACGAGAAAAGCTAGTCAAAGACAATATTGGTGGGAAGCTCCAATAGACAAGCTTGGCTTGCATGAGCTTGAACAACTTAGGAATTCAATGATTGAGCTCAAGAAGAACGTAACCAATCAGGCAAACAAAATTCAAGTCGAGGGCAACACAAATCCTTTGCCATTTTTCTTAGTAAATGGCAGTGGAATCGTTGATCCCTTTGAGAGTAAAACATCTCATATCAATGCTTCTTCTTCAACCAGTCCTAATGTCCATAACTTTGGCTATTATGGTCATGGATTTTTTTAAGGTTTTCTTGTCCATTTTCATGTTGGTTCCAAGCTGGCTAGTACCTTACTAGCCTTAAATGTCAATACATAAATCTTTTTTCAGTTATGTTTGTCCATGGATTGTGATGATATCTTTTTTCAGTTACTAGCCTTAAATGTTTTTCATCTAATATTCCTTAGTGCCATAATAAATATTAAATTAATTCATTTTTGGCAAGTTATAATAATCATAACTTTATTAGTTAAAATTTAACCTTTGTATGGATAGAATGGATTTAAGATGGCTTTCCAAGATGTCACTTTCACACCACTGAATGAAATTCTTCAGAAAATTGTGTTTAATTTATATTTTCCTATAATAATAATGAGCTCAATCTTAGGATTAATATGGATGCTTCAATCCTATTGTTATGGTAAGAGAAAATTACATTTTACCCTTAAAGTATGACTAAATACCACTTTATCACTCTAACTATGAATTTATATCAACCTAAAACTTCTATTAAAAAGTTCATTACATTAATGAAAATAATCATGTGGCATGCACATGATAACTCTAATATTGTGATATGCCTAAATGAGCATATCTTGAAAAGAAAAAATAAATAAAAATTAATGGCATCAAAATTTAGTTCATTACATAAATGAAAATAATCATGTGGCATGCAAATGATAACTCTAATATTGTGATATGCCTAAATGAGCACATCTTGAAAAAGAGAAAATAAAAATAAATAAATGGCATCAAAATTAATGTACCATTTTTCTAATTTTCCCATGGCCTAAATTTTCCATTGGTTTTTTTTTTTCCCTCTAGCTTTCACAACAACCAAACGAACCCTAATTCATCACACAACTAAAATTTGATCGCTTGGGTTAGGTCAGTACTTAAAATTCAACATAAAATTTACAAAACAATGAGTTAATTCATTCCAAAGCATGCATGGCAAATCATGGAAGAAAACATATTAATTAAAAGAATTGATTCACAAAATAACAAACATTCAATTTCGTTGCGAATTGGTTGACGATTCAATGGAATTTCACTACCTTTGACCCTCATTGCAGGGATGGATCTATTTGTAGACAGTAAGGGGCCATGGCCCCCCTGTTCAAAGGAAACAATGCTATTGGGATGATATGCTATGTTGCCCAAAACTTTCTTGTTATTACAAATGGCCTCTGTTGCTACCTTAGGAATATTGAAAACTTTGTGTCTTCATAAAACAAGTTTATCTGTATGAAAGAATTGGAACACCAAAAAAATAGAATTATTATCTTTTTTAAAAAAAATTTATTTAATGAAAGCAGAATTTAACAGTAATAATACATTAATTATATTTTTTTTATCACAATTTGTTTATCATCACATGAAGCATACTTATAATGCTGATATCATATTAATGAGATTCACATGAGACCTAATAAAACTTTTGAAATTTGAAAAGAAAAAAAAAAAACTTTTACTTTAATAGATAATTGAGTTAGCATATACAAAGAATCAACTAATTTATAATTTCTCTTTTATTTATATATTAAAGTTGACTAGATATGACTTCTTTTTTGATAATGTGAAGACTAAATAGATAACAAATTTTATGTATTATTTAAGGGAGTCGTTATTCTTACTCCAAATATACTCCATTGTTTTTCATTATTATACATAGTTACTATTCTCACTCCCCTTTATTCCAAATATATTTGTTTCTATGAATAATAAAAATAAAGAAGGGAGTGTATTTGGAATAAAGTTGAATGGGAATAACGATTCCCTTATTTTAATATCAAATCTTAATTATTTTTGATTTTTTAGTTGAAATATGACAGTAGATAACAATTGATATATAAAAGAATTTTTTTTTCATATCTTGGCTCCTCCATAATTGAAATTCTAGCTTCGTCCCCGCTCATTGCATGTTTAATTTTAGATAAAGTGACCATAGGATTAGAGAGAGAGGTGGGGTGGGATTGTGATTAGTGGAAGGAGATAAATTGGAAAGGGTGAAAGATGGAGAAATGGTGGATATGGTCTTGATGGCCCGTTAAACTTGCTTGAACTTGTTATGATTTATAAGGTTTGAGATAATAGTTCAGATCCATATGACTAAGTTGAGAATTTTTTTAGGCCCATTTATAATGTGGGTTAGACTTCAAAAAACGCATCAAACCTGTTTTGTCCCGCTCACAAATTATATACATATTTATGTGTTTGTTTTGTATTGGTGTCTTTATATTTTTTATTAACATAATTTACGCATTAGAGCATCACTAACATTTAGTCTCTTTTTTTTCATCAAATTTGAGTAAAGATTTGGGTTAAAAATTTCATCTAATACTAATCATTTCAATGTTAATTTTTCAATTTTCATCAAACAGCCAGTCGACCGAGAGGACGACCAGAATGATGTTTGGGCGATCAACCGACTTGTGTAAATTGATGGGCAATTCTACAAGCACATGCCGGTTGGAAAACTAGCTGGTCATCCAGTGCACTGTGATGCCCCAACAGCTACCTGCGACAATACTGACTACCTACAACAATTTGTTAAAACACTAAAGTCTCCCTCAATTTGTTGAAAGTTTTGAGTTTTTCCTCATTTGATATGAGTTTGATATCATGGTTAGAGCAGAAAAACTGTACTTATTTTATCAAATTTAAATATGATAAAAAAAAAAGAGAATAAGCATTGAATACGTTCTTATTAGTTAGGGCATCTCCAACGGTCCATCAATTTTTTCACTAAATTTGAGTAAAAATTTGAGGAAAAACTCTCTTTGATATCAAGTGTTCCAACAGAGGGTTTTGCTTCTTCGTCAAACCACCGGTTGACTGGGTAGATGTCTGACTGGTCAACTAGCTTGTACAAATTTTTCACAATTTTCTTATTGAGGTGGTCATCCGAGGGGTCAACCAGCCAGTGTAATTTTTTCAAAAACTTTTACCTTGAGGTGGTCATCCGGGAGGATATCCGGGTCGACATCTGGTAGTGAAAATCTAACAGTTATGAACAGTGATTTAATGAAAGGTATATTGGTCATCTGCTTGATGAAAGAAAAAATAAAATCTTGAATTCGATACCGATTTGATGAAATCGTCGGAGTTGAAAAAGAAACATTTTTCATCAAAGTCAAATTTAATAATAAATTTGATACACAGTTAGAGATGGTCTTATATAAAAGGATTTGATGTGATGCACACTTTATTTCCTAAATGTGAGTATTATATAAGGAACAGGGGTCCTTGTTGTGCTTAAAGCACAGCAGTGACCGTGGTGCCTCCGTTTGAAGTGTATTATGACCTTATTTTTATGATCTAAACCGTTTATTTTGTAGGGTTTGTTGAGTACTTTATGCCTACCAAAAATTATATCAATCGGATATCAATAATTATATGATCGAATTGCATATTGTTTATACTATTTCTCAAAAGAAAAACTTATTATTTATTGTTTTGGTTATCGATCATATAGTTTTTGATATCCGATTAATATTATTTTTGATAGGCATGAAGTACTCAACAAACCCTACAAAATCAACGGCTTGGATCATAAAAATAAGGCCATAATATACCTCAAACGGAGGCACCACAGTCACTATTGTGCTTTGAGCACAGTAGTGACCCCTTATACATTATATAAAGGCTAGATAGGATAAAGTGGTATTAAATTATACTTCAAATAGATAAATCCTTATATTTTGTGGTCTTTTAATATTTTTTTTTATTAATTGTTATAGAATAATGCTATACAAATGTAAAAATTAATATAAAAATTTATACAAAAGGACATGACTGAATTGTTGGACTATTGCTCTATAACAAGAGAAATTATTCAATGTTCCTGGAGTACAACATGTCTGTACTCTTGAACCAATTACCATTCAATATGCCCCCTCATGTTTCCCAATCACCGAACACAATACCCTCATTCACTCACCTTCTTTACCAATCACAATGCTATGAAATACCACATGTCTATACTTCGGGATTACTGAATAATTATTCCTATAACAAAGAGCTCATTCGAATACCACTATTTTATTAAAATGAAATATTCTATATAAAACATATGAAAAAAATAACATTTTTATATAAGAAAAAGATTGATACTATTAAAAAGTCTTTTCTAATTTATCTAAAATGACATAGGCCCAGTTTGGTGAGCTGTGGAAAAGTGATTATAACTTATACCTTAATAGCTTATAGCTTATAACTGTGAACATAAGCTGATTTTTGACTTATAAATTAAGCTTCTCTTCCCCCACTAAAAGAATAAGTTGATTTTTGACTTACAAAAAGCTATAAGCTGTATTGTTAAGCAGAACCAAACATATCAAAATAGCTTAAATTAAGCTAAAATCTGAAATAAGCTGGAAATAAGTCCTACCAAACAGGACTATAGTAGATTACATGTTAATTTTTGATTTGTTACAAACTAAATTATATAGTTGAATTGTGTCTTTAACATTTCTCTTCTATTTTTAACTTTTAACTTCTAAACTATTTTTTTTAAAAAAATTATTTCATCTTTAAATTATTCATTTCATCTATTTAATTTAATTTCAATTAATATGATTTAATTGTGGGTCTCTCCATTCTCTTTCACACATCAGTAAGGTAAATTGCATTTAAGTTCATTACTACTGCCATTAGAAGAGTGTCTCATTGTGCATTGAGAAATATTATTTACACAAAAAATATGTGCACAAAAACTCTCAAATAAGAGTAGGTCTTACATAGGTCCCTCATGTGTGGATCCAAACTTTCAATCTCTTATGAGTAATGTTAATGATTCTAAAAGTTCTTACATGTGTTAGCTTCTTGCTAAAGTTGTTAAAATCGAGATCCTACGTGAAATCATTGAAAGGAACTCGTGGATCGGATTGTAGAATCAGATCGAGAATCATAAGATTCTACTTTCAAATGTAAAATAAAATAAAAAATTATCAATAATGGTAATATATGTTATGTAAAAATGATAAATTTGATATAATTTTACGTTAATATTTGAATAAAATGTTTATAGTCAATTATTTATTTATTTATTTATAGATATACACATATACATACATATATATATATAAGAAATAAATAATAATAAAAAAAATGATAAGATCGGAATCATAGTAAAATCGAGATCATATATAATTTTATACGATTTTATGAATAGGA